TAGTAGTAGTAGTAGTAGTAGTAGTAGTAGTAGTAGTAGTAGTAGTAGTAGTAAGAATGCTCAATTCGTAGCGATGCCAGCCCCGGCCCTCGTAGCGTCCGATCGCTCCGTTCATAGTAAGGCCAGGAGCCGGCCCTAGCAGCTTCTTGTGACGTTCGTAGGCTTCTAGCACGGCCGGTAGCGATGGCCTCCAACCTACGTGCGATGGCTGGCATGGCCTCCTTTGCTACTTAATAGATGGTGTCGGATTGTGTCGGCCGAGGTGAATCACCAGAACGCGCTTCCGGTCTTGCAACGCCGTGTGGCTTCGCTCGGCTTCAAGGACCGCCCTGTGGCGTGAGGGTTCTCCTCCGGCTGGAAATGGTGACGGTTGCTGCCAGGTCGCTTCTCTTGCTGTGACTTCATCGTTGATCCGAGACTTTGGGGCTGATATTGTGTCTTCCCATGTGTCTTCCGTCATGAGAACGACAAACGACGTGTCAAGTCAGGACATGGATCTGTGGACCACCCTGTCATGGGTCCGCGACTTTGCGTGACTCGGTGGCACCGTGCCCCGTTTGGGTGAGGCCAAAGCAGGCGTTGACAGATGCTCTCTCTCTATAAAAGACCGTCAATTAGATAACAGATCCCCACTGAGAATGTATTGGAAACTGTTTCTATCTATTTGGGGATAAATATATTATATATATATGATCAAAATTGATCAAACATGATCGCACATAAGATGTCTTCTAGACATGAAATATTGTCCTATATTGGAGTTACATGTCGTTGCATCCTGTGTTCATGTCTTCAGTAGACATGACACCACCTTTTTTGTAGATGCAGATCGCCTAACATTTCATGTTTGGCTGCTCAGACCTGCAGTCAAGCGGTGGTCATTCCACCAGTGGATATCTAGTCAGATATTTGGTAAGCAGGGGTGAACCGCATACAAGCTGTTGCAGGTTTGGTCCTGGGAACCACTGTTGACCTGAAAAAGAAGAGGTTGCAGATGATTCACTAACCTAAGCATTATCTATATGTCAGCTTGAGAGTTCCAAGATTTGCAGGGAGTTCCCTACATGTCACTCTCGCATCTCTTCAGAACAGCCTGAGGCCTTTGATCATCCACATCCATTTCGATAAGATGTGCAGGTTTCTCTTGGAGGAGAGGTTGACCTTCATAAATCCTGAATCCTCAAGTCATGGATATTTTCTCACTATTTAGGAGCCACTTCTCAAGCAGCTTTGAGGGTGGTCTATCCAATAGGAGACTTCTTGTGGATTTGATCCACAGATGATGTTTGTGTTTGAGATTATGTTCTGCATTCATTTGTGAATTGCATGACTTTGAAGTTCACTTTACATAGTGTGCGTCGCTTTGTTGCCAGCGAAACCATCGTCCATTGTAGCTGTGGTTGCTTGTTGCGAGGACACGCACTATCGTTCACAGCCACTTGTCAGAAGTTGATCACGGATGTGGTTCACACTGCCAGCCTTGTGGGTCGGTATTGCTGGGTTCCACCAAAAAGCAGGCAGCAACACTCTCCAAATCATTTTGGCCAGCAAATCCAACCACAGGCAGCTAGGCAGCTTTTGGCTTGGCTAGGCTTCTCCAAGATCAAGCGTTCCCACCATTCCCTTCACCGTTCTCTTCCTCATGTTCCACTGGGGGTCTCCCTGTTCTGCGCGCGTTGGTGTTCGATATTAATCGGATGTCACCCTCAGAAATCCTTGCACTCTGAAAAACGCAGGCCTTGCATGGTATCCCCTACCAGGCCTTGCATGGTCGGTTGCAGTTGCACTCTGTTTTGACCTACCTGGATCTTGCAAGGTTTCCTAGGATCTGAATCGGGAGATCAGCCTGAAGCAATGACCAACCTGCCTGAAGCAATGTGTTTGCCCCAGATGAATCTGGGATACACGAGGATACAAGAGGTCAACAGCTCCCACGTTTCTTGTTCAGAGAACTCCCATGTATTTTCCATTGAGAGTTCTTCTTTCAGTTTTGACTTCTAACATGCCTCCTAAGAACGAACCGCTTCGCTGGCCGAGTTTCTCGGCAGCGCTTCGCGCTTAGCGCCAACTGCTCAGGTTTGAGACCGGAAGCTCCTGTGGCTTGAACAACCGTGAGGTCCGTGATCGATGGGAGCGCGACCTCTTTCAAGGCCCGGTGGCCGGTGGCCGGGTGAAGAGGAGAGACGGTAGACTGGGAACGACCTGGTGTTGTCAAAAGTCGTGGTGGTAGAACAATGGGTGGTATTGAATATAGCTGAATCAATGGGTGCTTCGAACTCTAGCGCAGGGTGAAGAAGTCAACGTCCACTGGAGGATCCTTTTCTTCGCATGCACGTGCCATGCCAGGGCTCCAGCCTCCAAACAGACGGCTCCGCTCTCCGCTCCAGTCCAACCAGGAGAGCCGGAAGGCCTCCTCGCTCCAACCTGAGGCGCCTACACGGGTTGCCGTGACTTCGAGCGGCCCAAGTATGGCGTGCTCAATGTGCACAATGACTATCGCGGCGTGGTCCGCGCCAAGCAGTATGGCTCGGGGCCTCGGGTCGGCCGCGGGCAGCGGCGCAGTTGGGGCGCCATGAGAGGTGGGATTTGAGAAAATCACGGCGCCATGTAGATCAGGGTAGTGATCAGGGATTAACCTGGTTTCGCCAAACATGATAAGGGTTCATTAACATAGTTCAACATGGTTTGTGGGACCTCCTGGGAGTTTGTGCCAGAAAGAAGCAGGAATTGGTGGTCAAAGAATCAAAGACACATGTTGGACAGTTTCTCCTTCTCCTTTCCATCCTGATCCAGTCCATCGTTTCGCTACATCTCCCCCCGCCTTCCCTTCCACCCTTCCACCACCTCCATCCTCACGCCCGACACGGATCACCGATCGATCTGTGGCCCAGGTGACTGCTACATGGTTTTGAAAGATGCGCGTTTACGCACCACCTTCTCTCCGGAGGACGGCATCCACACACAGCACCACAGAGCACAGCCAGCACAGCCAGCACAGCAGCTTTCTTTGGGTGTTGGAAGCGCCCAGTCGGTGACAAGTTGAGGCAAGATGTGGAAACTGGAGGTTTGGTCATGCAAACGTGGGCATGAAGTTGGAAACCAGTTGCTATAATTTGCTATAGAGAGAGAGAGAGATGGTGTGAAAGTGCGCGATTTTGATGTTGGCAGATTGAACGTGACTCTGCCTCTAACTGCAAAATTGTGGGTGGGTTGTCCTGGCGGAGGAAAGAGCTGCAGTAGGATCAGAGTCGATTGCACCAGGTGTTCTGTAGCTGCCACAAGATATATGCCTCTTAGAGATGGACAAGACCTCTTCTATTTGATTTAGAGTGCAGAACCTCACTTTCTGTCTAAGCCACTCCACCACACACACTCCAACACCCCACACCGCTCAGCTCCGGAGTCCGCGTCCCGGGAGGACTCGGCGAATCTGAAGGCCGAACGGCTCGCTTGCCTGGACTACTACGCACATGCGACTTGGCGCAGAGGCATGGCACCCTATCATTAAGGCATGGAGACCTCCCATCGTGGGTGTCGATGGTCGAACCCAAATGTACATAGACGACGTTACCCTAAACCCTAAACCCTGTTCCACTACACGTTTGGATCGATGGCTCTCCGAAGACTGGAAGATTGTGAGAGAAGATGGCACGAAGAGGAGGGGCGAGATAGGATGGAGAAGGTGTTTCTTACAATAGAGTGTTACTGAGTCACTAAAGAATTCGATGGAGTCTCCAAAGTGACGGGAAATGGGATATGGCCGGCCCTCAGAAAAGGGCAGTGGAATTCATGCGGTTTGAGGTTGTGACAGGCTGAGGGTCCAAGCGAAATGATGATTTGTAGTATTGATTTGTGTTATTTGCTGGACTCATGTTATTGCTTGTATATATACTATACTATTGGGACTCAGGTCCCTACCGTCAACATCATAGTTCATCATCATTCATCATTATCCACATGGACAGGCAATCACCTATTCATGAACAGGCAATTCTTATCACTTCTTGTATACAGGATCTTCCAACTGTACAAATTCCAAAGAACTGCACCACCCTTTTATCTTGTAGATTTGATGTAGGGGCATGTAATGTATCAAATTAGGGACCTTTCCTTTTTGTTGGACCACCATGGACCGGGCCACCTGCGTGCGTCGCCCTTCCTCCAGGTGCTGGTGGAGTACACCGACGACGAGCTGCGAGAAACGCTGAAGGTGGCCACCACGGGGAAGCTCGGCAGTTCGGACGCCATTCTGGCGAAGGGGCTCAAGTACAAAGAGGCCACATGGGTGGGTGGAGACATGTGGGTCTCGACCAAAACGCCGACTGGAAGAAAGGCGGAGAATCACCACTCTGAGGTGATGAGCATAGAAGCATATAGACATAGAAGCTATAAGTAGGACATAGACATAGCAGTGATCGGCGATTTTCGTATGTGATAGGCATGTATAGGTGATGTGCCTTCCGTCTCACGTGTTGAATCAGGCGGTTTTGCCTGAGACCAGGTCACCGGGATGTTCGAAACACGAAGAAAGAAGGTCCGCTTCGCGGATCGGATTGAAAATGTGGATGTTAATGGTGTTTTCTCGGAAAACAACCAACCAACCAACCAACCAACCAATTGGTTGGTTGATTTCACTTTGGCTTCCTTCCGCTGAAATGACCAAATCCCAAGCTCTATGAGGACAAAACCCGCACAGGCCCAGTTCCACGGCGAGGTGGCCTTCGCTCGCCACGTGGAACGCCTGGTGCTGCCCAAGGCGAGACGACACCGACCAGTGAGTAGTGAGTGGGTCAGGAAACCGTGTTCTGCAAGGAATCTGAGTTGGTCTCGCGTGCGGAGATGGATCACCACTTGAGGATCACCACTTGAGGATCGACACCTTTTGGATGACGTTACGGATCCAAGAACAGTTGAGCACTGCAAAAGAGAGAAGACTAAATCGTTCCGGCCTAAGGGAATGATGGAGGACTGGATGTTCCTTCTGCTTAGACTGATGAATGGGGGGATTGTTGGGGTTCAAGACATGTCAAATTTAACAACAAGAGCAACAACCATCCAACCAGACAGGCATCCCACCAACCAACCATCCAACCAACATACCAGCCATCCAACCAACCATCCAACCAACCCAACCAACCAAGGACACCCCGAATCACTCCTTTTCAAGACCCAAAACAATAGGCACAGCCGAGCCAGGCCGAGCCTCAGACGAAGAAGTTCATTCGTTGATCAAAACCGAATCCGAAGAAGTTTTGGGGTCGAATTGGCGGCTGGCGGTGAAAGTACGTGTCCCCGTCCGGTGGTGGTTTCTTTTGGCATCTTTTGCGTGTCGCATTGTGTCAGTCTTCGTCACCACAGAACATGCCAATTCTATAAAGCAGACCTACACCATTGCATCTTGCTTGGGTTCACAACAGCACACAAAACTTAGTGGTCGAGGGTCTTGTCGTGCGTCGGCCGATCGGCATGGCCACGTGCGGCTCGGCATGGCCTGCAGGTGGACAAATATATTGATCGTGAGGATGACATCAAAGCAGTGTGCTCCAAGAATGGCTGGGAGTGGCTCAGAAGAAGAATACGGAGCACCCAGTCTCCCCCAGTTCTCACAACCATTTTAGGCTGCATGGAACTAGGCCGATGTCGGACGGCACGTAGTCGAAACGCACTAGGCTGAGGGTAGACTTTATAAAGATGTGCGAACTAAGGGGGGGACGAGTCTTTGATGGGCTCTGATCCATTTTTCCGAGCAACTAAACCAAACACACAGCGTGAGACCTTTAATCCTTGCCTGAGGCACACGCTCTGAGTTAACTTTTGGTTTGGGTGGGTCAAGGACGCCTCACATGCATCTCACGATTCCATTGAGATTTTTGGGAATCAAACCCCCCCAGGATTTGCCCCTGCTCATGTTCAGCTTCTTGCTTTGCACTGCAAAGCAAGTCCAAAGTGAGGTGGTGCTGGATGGAGGAGGAGAAAGAACGGCGAGAAAAGCTGGAGGTCAAGCCGCGAAGCATGTAAAACCCTGCAATGTGATGGGACTTGGTTGTGGTGATGAAATATCGGGTCCACGGAAGAGAACAAGGAACACCAGACAGAGCGGCTCGCAGTCTGAGAGTGGAAGACTTTTGAACTCCCCCTTCTAGCCAAAGGTTTGGTGAGATCAATCTGGATCTGTTCAAAGGCAACCCAGTTGAAGGCACTCCAGAATCAAGATGAGCTATACGCACAATTACGCATAATATATATATATATTAATATGTATATTACATATATGTGTATATATACTTATATTCTGATACAAAACGTCATCAATCCAACGGTCTTTGAAACATGTTTTAGAATGTTCTTGTATGTTCTTGTGCTTGTTCAAACATTTGGGCAAATACATCGAGAAGTGAGCAGGAGCGGTGCACCCAAGATAAAACACGTCAGGCGGAAGATAAAGCTTCGGACGACAAGATCAATGCCTGGAGGGCCAAGCTAAAGGCCGTCCCAGCCGTCCCACGCACGTCGTGCATCCGTTCCTGGGATGCCCTTCCTGGCCAGTAGTGCACAGGAACGAATTCATACACTTTCTCCTGTTGTGTGCATCTGTTTCCCTCGCAGTGGCATCGTTTCCACTCACTTGGTGATTGAAATCACTGAACAGCGAGATGTTTGGCTCGTGGTCGTCGCTCAGCCGTCCCGTCAGGCCATGGCAGAAGGCCCCAACGACGACGTGACGGTGCCCGCAGGCGAGGCCGGACCCGTCCGAGGCACGGACATGGAGATGGAGTCGTGAATGCCCGGAGTCATCATGATGTTTCTTCTCCGGGTATTCATGGCTGATGGTGCAATCATGATGGTGTCATGGTGTGTTTGCACAATCATAGATGACTGTGTTGCAACACCGGAACGGAGAAAGATGGGGTGGCGCGACCGTGATGTTTGTTCTTCATCGTCGCCAGCGGCCGGCGGAGTGCGTTCTTCTTAGTGCAGGGGATCCATAGTGCGTTTGTTCGACAGGTCGATGAGGCCGAAGGAACATGAAGGAACAAAGGTTTCAGGCTTCAGCATGTTTCAGCTGTTGTTTTTATCATGTTTTATCCCATCCATTATCCATTGCTCCAAGTTCTTTCAATTGGAAGAGAAATCACCCCGATGTCAAAACCTCCGCAGCTTCGCTTGTTTAGACACGTGAAGACTCTTCGTGATGCACGGATCTGGGCGTCGACATGTTGAGATTGGTGGGTAGTTTCATGGACATCGCAGTCTTGAAAAGGCCCAAACCACTTCAACGTCAACCATGGGTCCGGATATTACCACGAATTGGCCTATGGGATACGGATTGACTTCTTACCATCATGGATATGCTTTGTTAGAGAAGGGCAAGTGGAGTTCCCCAACAGACTTATTCAAGGACCAAGTGGCCTCAGTTGGCCTTCTGAGCTCGTAAAATAGGTCGAAGGTCATAGTATTTGGATTCATAGTGATCACTAACTTTTTAGGACTGATGGGAGGAAAAAGAACGAGCGCATCGTCCGACTTGCACTCAATCTATTGTCCCTCCTGGGATGAGTTGCTTGCGACGCCGGTGAGAACAAAACTCGTCGTTTTCGACACACTGCGCACCCCTCGCCGTGTGGACCGGTGAGGTTTCTGCAAGAAGGGCTGTGGCAAACCGGTCGCTCCAGGGCTCACGAAGAACGGCAATCCCTACAAGACCTGCTGTCGAGGCACGCGATGTTTGGGCGCAGTGGCGGGCGCATTTCGCGCACGAACCGGGATCTTCGTGCCCAGATCTTCTCTTGCGCGTTCGCGCATTGGGTTGCCAGTGTTGCACGAACAACTTCAGGATGTGCCTTGGGCTTCGGCCACGATTTGCGCTGCGGCCTCAAGGTGCCGGACGGCTGAAACCGGCGGGGGCGGTAGGGTGGTGGCGGGAATAGGCCTTTGCGCCTTTGTTACTAGTGGCGTCCTTGCTCCTAGTAGTAAGGCCCGGAGCCCCTAGCAGTGTCCTTCCTCCTAGGAGTATACATTGTATTTGGGTGTAAAGAAGAGAAGAGCATCCCTATCATATCCTATCAACAACATCCCCATCACGAGAAGTGTACAGAACCATGCTTCACTTGTCCAAAAAGAGGGTGGGCAACGTGACATGAGACCTGAGACCGGAGTTCTTCCAGGCTGGTGAGCGACCTCCTTGCAAGATGAACTGCGGCATGTTGGCAGCTCCAGGCAGGACTTGGGTCGGTCAAACACGTCTCCGAACCTCCAACCTACTAGCAATGGTCTCCGACCTATGGGGTCGCCTGAAAGGTTTTGGAACAGGGACAGTTCCCGAAGTCATCATGCGCCAACCTGAAAGGCATGGCCCCGATGTCCGAGGACCATGTGGTAGTTGTCCACTTGTATTTCAGGGAGGGTATAATGTAAATTATATAAGGTTCAGAATCTTGTTTCTTCTCTACCCAAGGATCCCTATTCTGCTTCTTGCATTTGTGGGCGGAAAGGAGCTCATGAATGACGTTGGGGGAATTCTGGGGGACTCAGAGGCTTCGAGGGAGGACTATGAAAAATGTTTGGACCATATGCCTGGTGTTGGACCCTTAGATCCTTTTGAAACCCTTGAATGCAAGGGATCCGTTGAAAGAGGTCTCCAGTAGGTGATTTCAGGGGGACTGGGGGACCCTGGCACATGAGCCATTTGGCTCGTCGATTTGGCCGCTGAAACCTGTGTCAGTGTCACTGACCAAGCCTATGAGTTGATGTGAGGTGTTTGGCGTTCTTGATGCTTTTGGTCACGTTGTTTGTCCAATTGCTTCCAATGCACAGTGATGAACTGCCTGAGAATGGAAGAACACGCCGAACATAACCATGAAGTTCATTCAGGGCACAAAATTATTCCTTAGGTTGAACAGGTTTGAACCACTAGACTACCATGAAACATCCAGAAACCATGTATATATATATAGGTTTTTTGTTGGATTTGAGGTTGGTCTCCTGCCTCTTTAGATGTAAGCCTTGGAACGATGTGTTTGGATTTGGACATCGCACAGCCCCCCCTCTGAGCAGTCTCGATGTGCACAGTCGAAAACGCCTTCGAAGGGCTTGTGAAATATAAAAAAAAAAAAAACATGTCGGAGAACTCTTCGAGATGTATCACGTAGGACAACGGGAGGGTTACAGAAATATAATGGAAAAAAAAGTATTAAAACAAAAGAACTGAACAAGCCCAGACATTTCTTCATAGAAATGTCATACATCTCGCGTGCTGATTCGATTTGTGTTGGGAGAATCGTTTTCACCGCTCACCCCACGAGAAATGTTCAGATGTTGTCACCACAGATGCATGAGATATACCAACATATACCAACCCTGTGGAAAGAACAATACTAGTTTTACTAATAATAATAAGTCTACAAATAAAATAAAACTTCGCAACTCCAGTTTTACGTTCGCACTCCGGGCTGAACGCCACACTACTCACGTCTGCCAGGCACCACCTCGAAGGGACGGCCATTGGACACCTGCTGTCGTGGTTGTGCCAAGGGAGGTGACCATGACGCCAGATGCCATGGAGACCATGCGGATTAAGGCAGCTTCAAAGAGACAAAAAGAGCGATTTAAGGACAAAAGGAAAACAAAGCACTGGAAGATTCTTCAATACACTAAACAGGTGTGTGTGTGTGTGTTTGTTGCTTCTTCGATCCAATTACTGTATTTGTTGTTTGACTTGGCTCTCATCAAGTCATTTTATTGTGCGCTAAGCAGCAAACCTCGCATGTCATACCACATAATGAATTGTTGAACCAATGTTGAACCAAAGAATTGTAATGATGAAGAGCCAAATCAAGAATAGTGGCTCAGACGGTTTGCATAGATTGAGTTTCTTGACGATGCCTCCTTAAAGGAGCGAGTCATCAAGTGAATCGAGTCGGTTTGTCTCACCTGGTTAAGACCGAAAAGGCTTTCAGGCGCCCGCGACCAGGTCATCAGGCCACCCTCGGGTGAGGTCGAAAACGGGTCCGAGAGAGGGAACCTGAGCAGCGGATTCAGGAGGATTCAGGGGAAGTCCGCGAAACCTTGGAACGCTACGAGAACGCTTCTTTTTTCTTTGTTTCTAATAGCGATGGCCTCCAACCTAAGAGCGATGGCCTCCAACCTACTAGCTTCTTGTTACTGGTAGCTACGCAACTCATTTGGTCACCTGAGTTCAACTTATCACCCAGGAACTTTCGCTTCGGCAGGAGCTTTGAAGGTGACCTGCACATGTTCCATGTTTGTAGCGTCCCAAGCGTCCCAATTCCGCAGGCAGTCCATTCCGTTGCTCCCGGTCTTTTGTTCCAGCGATTTGGGGAACTTTATCCAGAACATTTTCGAACTAATCACTGCATATATATATATATATATATATCATCCAACTACGCAGCAGTATATTTCATCCAACTAGCTTAAATGCTGCAGGTGTATAAGATAACCAGAATAGACGACGCATGAAAATGGCAACTTTTTGTGGAAAATCACATGATCTCAGCCTGGGAGGCCCCAGCCGGTTTTTGACCCGCCAAAGGCCCCAGACGGTCTACGAGGATCTTTGCCCTTCGGGTTTCTACTGTGCAGAGGCGCGCGCGCGCCTGCGCCCTAAAACCTAAGAAAAGAGGCCATTGAACGCGAGGCCACTGGGTGAATGTGAAATCCTGCCCCTACAAATCTGGAGCTACGAACATTCCACCAAAAGCTCACACTCCAGAACTTCGCATCCTGAATGTGACATGCATTTCAACTATTATGCATTACCCAAGTTATACGCTATGTCCCTTATAGTGACTGATTGCTCCAGCTACGATCCACTGGGTGGTTCCTACAAAAAGGAACAGAAGCTTTGGACGCGCACTTTCTTTGAGAGGAAAAGGTTCACCAGAATCAATCAGTTGATTGTTTTATGGATCCTGCCTTTGGATCTAGAGAGGGTTGAAGAGGTCCAATTAAACAATCTACATACACATCAAGCAAAGCAATTACCACACACCGGGCGTCAAGACTTAGTGAAGTTAAAAGGAAGGTCAGCTGTACGCCTGTGCCCCGTGGATGGCTCGTAAACGCTGGGAATGGCATAGCCACACATCTCTCTAGAATCCTTGGCGCTTTTCGAGTGAACAACTCTCATGCAACGACCCAGACTTCCGTGACAGGATAGGAGACCTGCGACCACATTGGCAATCCTCGCTGTACTATATAGTAACAAGAAGCTACTAGGTGGAGGCCATCGCTATTAGGTTGTAACAAGAAGCTACTAGTAGCTATTTGCTACTAGAAGCAAGTGTCAGTACCTCAATCAATCCGCATCACTTCCAAAGCAAGAAATGCCCTTTGGAGGGTCTTGGGAAGAATTGTCGGTAGAGCACAAGGCATAAACGGGCACACAAGTTGAGAGAAGTATTGTATACTGTATTGCCTATTCAACAGCATTGGGGTGGTTTCAGGACTCAACGTTGGCATACAACATATTGCATACATGTTGTGTTTGGGATGTATTGTATAGAAAACGGAAGCGTCGTAAATCGCAGATTCAGCAACGAAGTACGAGCCCTGGTCGCATGAGGAGCAAACGTCCACAACCAAGAAACTGAATCTTCCAATCGCTGCATCGAAAGTTTGACAACATTCCATGTCGACCAAGGACATACAGTCATCAACAGGAATTGAAGTGGAGTCTTGACCCATCGCAGACAGCTCTTCTCGAAAGAAGAAATGGACCGGTGGACGACCAGGTCGGACGTGGCGATGGCCTCCAACCTAATAGCACAACGAACCTCAGAGCAATGGCCTCCAACCTGCTAGCGATGGCCTCCAACCTAATAGGGTGTTCAGTCTGCAGCAAGGTTCAATGAGGCCAAGGACAGCTGGAAGACACGCTTATTGCCGGCGCTTGCCGTGCCGCCCTGAAAAACCACGGCACGGCACGCGGCACGCTGTGCGCATGCTGTCAGGGTTGAAGCCACAGTGCCTTGCTAGCATGTTTTACTTTGTATCCATAGTAGAGGCTCAAGCTCCAACGAAAGTCATCCAAAAATGCAGTTCTGATATTTCTGAGTGTTGAGTAGCTACAGCTGAGCTATCAAATATGTTGTTTCGCCTGGTGTTTCTGATTTGCTTTTTGCGCCTACACCGCCCTTTTTTGTGGTCCGATTTCGTTCGATCCGTTTGGTTCGGCCAGGCGACCACCTTCGTGAACCGCTACAAGTTCCGCTGCCCCATCGGCGGCTTAGCAGTGTCACCGTCGAGCCAGACGGTCGTCGGGGGGTGTTCGGGGGGGCGAGGGGTTGGCAGAGAACTCGGAGGGGGTTTCCGGAGGGGGTGGACTTGGGGATCTAGACGTCATGACGGCCCAAGCTTCTTCGCGCGCTGGCGCGCGCGAGGGCGATCGGGTGCGACCGGGTGGGAGTGGTTCATGCGAAGCGGTGAAGGCTTCCAGTTTGGGAGTTCAATCATGTTCGATCTTTGGCCCTAAAGTCCACGTTTGTGACGCGACACTGGACAAAACCAGAGAGGGCGCACACTGGAAAAAAAACTGGGCTGGGCCCAAAAAAACAGACAGGGTGGCAGACGGGTTAATGTTACAAGTAAACAATGTCTGGAACGTTCAGGAACTCTTGTAGACCTTTTTCGGCCCTGGTTCCAAGTGCTTTGCAGCTCGGTCAACCGACTGACCTGGTGGTGGTCTGAGGTTTCTACTGCCCAGAGGGCACTGGAGCAAGGAAGGATCTCAAGCCACTCGGCTCTGCTCGTAAAACGTGCCATTACCATAGGACTGGGGTGTGCTTTATAAAAGACTAAAATATAGATAGACTCTTGATAATAAGCCCCCAAAGAGTTGTTTCAATCCAAATGGAGTGGGTGTATTGATCAAGAGTCTACATCATTAGACTGACCATGACCTTTCTCCAAGTCCCACAGTCAGTAAAACTGCGCATCACACTCTTTGAATTTTGGAAGCTGATTGCCCATCATTCATGATCAGAACATGATTAGGTGATTAGGGAGCTCGAGTAGGTCTTTGGACACGGTCCAGACTGCGATGAATCAGAAATCCTTTTCCCTGCATCTATATCCAGCAGCCCATCCTGAAATCTACAGATTGGCTAAAAGGTTGGCAAGCACTACTTCGACGCCATCCAAACCAAAAGATTCGGTCGGAACCCCAACGACTCTTTTTTCGGGTAGAGACGGCCGACAGGCGTTGGCTGCAAGAGGGCGATGTCTTCTTCTTTAAGCGCGACTTCTATCTGTCACAGAAGGCGGGAGACTTCTCTTTTCAGGACAGGACGTGTGTGGGTCGTTGGCTGGACCTGTGCGCGGAACCGGACCGACTTGCTCCGCTGTGCGAGCTGGAGCGCTGTGGCGTCGTCCCATCTCTGCACTGGCGTCTAAGCATGTCTGAGCACAACAGCCGTACCTCAGATACACAAATGCAAGTGATCAGCATGTGTTTGACAGAAAGAATCCCCCCAAGACACTCCAGGAACGGGAACGCGACACATCCGCCTTGAGGTGGCTCAATTCTGCCTGCGGCAGATCATGCGAAATCGCTTTGAGTTCGTGGCGCTGGAGCAACAGCGCTTGGCGCGAGCCTGGATGCCTAAGTCCTCCACGGTTTTTGGAGGGGGCGAAGGAAATCGATCGGGTGAAGGGGGCGAAGGAATCGGCGGAAGAATTCATGGAGACTGGAGCAATCGCTGAAGAATCACGGAATTCTTCTCATGAGTGTTGAAGACTATATAGTTTGGGAAATCTAAAAACAGCAATAATTGGCTCAAATGTCTTTCCTTTTTTGCAGACCAGCAGAACTGCTGAAGGGCTGTATAAAATTTGATTTACCAGGCATAAAAATCCAAGGACCGCTCGTTAAGGAAACCAACATCCAAGGACTTCACAGCAAAAGGTGACCTTCAAAATGAACTCCTGAGAGTTCTTTCATGTTTGTTGACCTGTGATGACGGTCACCACAGCATGCCCAGCATGCAGTGTGTGGGTCTTTTTCCAAAGGGGAGACACCACAAACGGTGTTTGTCTTGCTTTTGCGTGAAACGCTTTTTTTGGGGATCTGCGTGACGTCCTCCAGTTTGCCGAAAAAAGCGATCGGCGCGGCACGCGTGGCGAGGCCAATCTGCCACTCATCGATCTGAAAGAAATGACCGAAATCTGGAGCAGCTGGATGGAGGACATGTTCCTAGTAGCTTCTTGTTACTACTAGTAAGGCACCTGTTACTACTAGTAAGGCACTTGTTTCTACTCAGCCCACCCAACTCGTCCTGGTCCAGTCCAAGTGCCAAAAAGCCAAGGGCTCGCCCCCGCTGTGGAGTGTCTTGTGACCCTGAAACACCCCTCTGTGACCCTGAAAGAAGTGTCGTATGGACCCCTCGTTTGGTTTGGGACCTGGCAAGCACCGAGAGGAGTTACCAGAGTTCCACAAGATACGGTGTTCAAACGGATCAATAGGCATTTCTGCAGCTTTCACTTCATCGACACCTTTGATCAACCTATTCACCCTTTCGCAAAGGTCGACCTCTCCCATCTCGCCTACCATCGCCCACAACCGTCCGCACGGCACAACAGCTCGCCTTCGCCGCACGGTGCGGGGACTTCGCCGCACAACAGAGAGACCTTCGCAGGACTTTGATTTGGCCTTCTGTCAAGAAGATGCCATCGTCGCTGTCCGGGGAGCCTGGACAGGGTGTAGGAACCGTGGATGAGAGGGTGTAGGTGGTATGGGGGTGGTGTAGGTGAGGCAGAGCGAAGCAGGGCGAAGCAGGGCCATGGTCAGTTGGTGAAAAGCACTGCTTTGGTTCGCCAGACAGTTCTGCCCCACAAATGGCTATAGAGGATGCCGCAGGGAAGGTGAGATGTAGCGCTGTGTGGAGCTACAAGTGCCCATGATCCGACGTTCGATGTTCTCTTCTTCAGATGTACCTCAGCCTCAGTTAGACATGTTGACGCACCAAAAAAAAACACCTTCCGTTTGGGGTGCCACAAGCTCATTCCCTAATCTGGATTTCGAGCCAGGACACTCCCACAGGACACGTTCAGGTACAGTAGCACTGGCACCCTACATGTCTTTTAGATGGGGGTCCATGTAAACTTGGGGTAACTTGTGCCATTTCTCACCTCTGAAACCACTATACTATAATCCTTAAACAGCACTCGGAGATCGGCTGCGCCCGACCACTCCAGGTGTGGGAGAAGTTTTACTCGGAGGATCTCAAGGCGGTCGGGGCAGTGTGGGGGCGGGGGTATGTGTGGTGGGGAACGGAACCGTTCCCCAATGCGCCGCCAGGCGTGTTTTTTCACACGATATGTGTTTCTCTTTATTTTGTCAGCAGTCAACTTAAGTGTTTTAGCTCGCAGACCAGCTATGTTTTCCTAATGAGATCACAAAAAGAAAGCTACCATTACGTTCAAGTAGCTCACATTTCAAGTGAACATAGCAATGTCCCATGTTGAATATGTGTTTTATGCGTTGTTTTCATGCAACGCATCGGCCGTGTGGTTTCTGTCTGTGCGTTGCACACTTCATTGCCACCCCATACACTCCATGTAGGGTATGTATATGCCGCCTACATTGACCCCTTTTCTATATAAATATGCCATACATGGATGGTCTGGGTTATGGTCTGATGTCTGAATGAAACAACAGGTGCACATTTTAAACGGCCACGTGGCCGTCCAAAGCCTTGCGCCGGCGTGAGTCAAGCCTCGTTCTGCGCCCACTGGTCCTGAAACGTTACCGAAAAGACATGTGTGTTCTTTGTTCTTCTGGGACCGGGCGCAGAGTAGTGGCTAAGTCCTTTCGATCTGTCGATATTGGTTTCAAAGCATCTCATGATGCGGGTAACTGTCACTGGCAACGGTATAATCCTCTCTCTTACAGAGGGGGTGTATGGGGGGAAAGACACATGGGGAGGTTGTTTATTTGATGAACACATCACATGGAAGTGGCTGGCATGATCCCTTTTTTAAGATTCCTCTAAGAACAGTGGGTGCCATCTGCCTCCATGTGATGTGTTCGTCGAAGTGTATTACTTTAACTTCATGGAGTTGAAAGGCATGGCCCCAATTTCGGATGACAATTTTCCTCTACAAACCTGTGGTTTTCCAGTCAGGGTATCTGTGGCACCACTTGGAGAAGTGTCACATGTTCGGTGCCAAAGCTCCACTCCCCTCATTGACCCGACTAGCATCGCATCAATACCATGTCTGAAACATGCATAAACCGTGGGATGCTTGGAACCGTTGCAGACGCGTTTTGGGGGGAAGACACTTGGACGTTGGTGTGTCTTGCTTACCGCGGAGAGCCCCTCATTTAAGGCCGATCAGCTTCTGAAGTGCCGCCAGCCTCCGTGGCACAATCAAGCTCGAGACAAAACCGGTCAGGGCAATGACATCCGTGCCGCCATCCTGGCGTTGATCAATCCAGTTCAAGATTTCGTTGGGCGCCACAGATTTTGGTTCGTACGTGGGGCCCGAACGGGCGAACGAACACCCACCGGGATCGAACGAACGTAGGCAAAGTGTGTTGGGGGGGGGGTCAAAGGGGCTACAGTGTGTTGGAAGCCCTTTTGATGTGACATGCAGATGTGACATCTACAGCTTGGAAGAGTCCAATGACCGGTTTGGGAAGAGTCATGGGATGCACTTCTTCTTCTGTCTTGCCATTTAGAAGACCCAGGAACTGGCGAACTGGCCAAACCGCTGTCAAGAACTTTGGGAACACTTCTGAAGGGTCAATACCCAGACGCTCCATGGACATGCTTCAGGCCAGAGTACTTAGTTATATAGTTATATATATATATATATATGATCACTACTATTGGTTGATTTGGGTATCATCATTTATTCAGGAACCACTTTGGGGGGGAATTGTCACGCAAGGTTTCCTCTCGGAACCTCTCCGGAAACCGTCTGCCACGCGTGTGGACCTTCCGGGCGTGGGGCCTTCGACCGACGCGAGACCTCGCTCGGGGGGGATGGGTGCGTCGAGACCTCGCTCGGTCGAGGACTTCTTGAAGACCCAGCTCTTACAGAAGCTTCTCATCGAGCCACAGAACTACCGCAACAAGCGCGGAGACCAGGGTGGGTGGTCGCATCAAGCCGGAAGGATAAGGACCATGGACCGCCACATAAAGGAGTGCTTGGTTTGCTGTAAGGCTGTAAGGTTTGAGTCTGTGGAGCCGCTTAGCTTATATGAGCGGCAACTGGTACACTTATTATAGGAGAATGATAACATGTCCTTGCTTCGGGTGCCGGTTTTGACCAGTGGCGACAAAAAACGGGGTTTGCGCCCCTGTTTTTTCAGCTTTGCTGGACATGAGAGACTTGAAATGACTTCAACTTCAAGCTTCCCCAACTGCGCACTTGCCCTCACCTGGCCAGTGCGCCATGTGCGTGCACTTGCCATTTGGGTGCCGCGCTTGCGGTTCAGCCGCCGGTTCGCTGCGGAGTTTCCGCGCCGCCGAGCGGTTTGCACAGGTGCATCGACCACAGCTTGGTGCTGGGCGGTGTGGAATTCCCGCCTGGGAGCTGAGGGGGCTGCGGAAACCTCGCGGTTCGGAATTCCCGCCTGGTTTTTTTTGATCGGAACGAGAGATTGGAGAAAGAGCTCAACAAGAGAAATGGACTCGAAATGGAGACGTGTTCCTTTGGTTTCTTTGCATTTTGCACACAGTTAAAAGAAAAGTTTGTTTTGAACAAAACGTGTACGAGTCATCCTGTGTCCCTTGTTCTTCTTTGTTCTTTCGTCATGCTGTGCTCAGGGTCAAAGACTGTGGAGGGGATCCGTGTGATGGCCCAGATGGTGGAGAGAGGGTGATTGTTGATGCTTGAACTAAAAAGACATGGAAGCTCACAAGACTTATATAGACCATTTCATTTGTGCTGAGCATGCTGTCTGTGTGGTTGTTTGTTGCTTTTTCCGGAGCCCGGAACGATCTTGGAGGCGGTGAGGCTGTTTTTTGGTCCGTCTCCACCGTTGTGGGTCTTCTTTCGTGATTTTCTTTCACGTGGGAGCACCCACACCTGGTCAGCCCGCTTGCTCGAAGAGGGATCAGTTTCTGGCGACGTACCAATGTGAAGCACCAAGCCCCGAGACCGAATGTTCGGTGCTGCGACACCTTGCCCCAAGTTCGGAAAGCAACGGATGAACCGATTTTGTCCGGTGCTGCCAGGACCTGCAGCAATCGCTCACAACTGGAGTGCTTTTGTACAGCACGTGGCGCTGGCTGACTTGGCATCGCATGGTAAACAGGCCATAACAGGCCCATGCTTGCACACTTCATCACAGTTCTTGGAGTGTCACCAAAATTGGCAGACGATGACTCAGACAGGTCCCAGAGTGGCAAAAGATGCAGCAAAGCACTCTAACTGTGACTGTACAAGGACTACTTTTGGATACTTTTGGCTTGTAAAACAAGATGATTTCCTTAAGAGACTGCTGGCAACATAAACCAAGAATGCTCTGTCGACCGGCTTTCAGGCCCCATGTCAATTGTCCTTTTTTATTTCGGGCACGGAAGGCTTCCTTCGGAAACAGAGCTAAATTTAAGCTAGCTCAACATCGGATGAACGCACACCTTCATGTCGCTCGCCGTCTCTCGCCGTTTCGAACGCCTTCCGCCAGCCTCTACGGCGGCCATGCTGGATTGCTTCGGGGGAGACTTCCCGGACGTCGCTTGCCTCAATGCGCC